GTGATGCAAAAATTTCACAACAGAGTGACTGCAAATTCAAGGGGAAGGATGTAAGAGGAAGCAAACAGACGTTAGTTCGATGTAAGTTGTGGGAAGTGAGTTGAAGATGCATCCCTGCAAAGTTCAATTTGCAAATGTTTTGAGCTTGGGAAATAAACGCTGAGCTGATGCAGAGTTTGTATGGCTCAGAAAATGTTAATAGAAAGCGCCAGAGTTTGTTATGAGTACTAAAACCAGAGTCTGAGCGTTCACATGCATACAATATGAACATAGACAACCTCCACATAGCAATCAGTGTGTACAGCTAGCTTGTTTAAGCTAATCTGAAGTCAGCACACAAAATTTCCATCCGACGTGCAGAATATGCAAGGTAAGAAATAGCTTAAAATAAAATTCCAAAATTAGCCACAGGACTGAATGCAATCCTCACATCAGCATTCAAAATGTAGACTTAAGCCAAACATGCACAGTATGATTTCAGTGTGATTTGGTCTTGATTTCTGGGCCAATCACAGCCTGATCAGCTGCTCCTGACCGGTCAGTGGAATCTCTGACGTTTGATATTTTGGTTGTACAACTGCACAAGAGCAGATTCCCTCTCCCTTTCCTAGTTAGCATGTGTTTATTGAATATTTGTTATGATTTAGCTGCTACTGAACTGAAACACAGAACCGACTTCAACCTTGGACTCTGGAAGTTTTCCATTGACAATTGTGAATGATCTGACTTGAATTTAACTGAACAGTGTCCTCTGCACACTACGAAGCCGTTTGCTGCCATTTTAGTCTATGCTACGGTTTCCACATCACGCGCTGTGTTCTGTCACCGGAGCGTGCCAGCAGCGCCACTCTACTCCACTCTGTTTCAAATACACACCTAGTCTAGTCTCTAAGACGGAGACAATTGCAAGCACGCATCAAGCTGACCAGAAAAGATCGACCTGGGCCAGAAGTCAGACAAGAAAACAGCAGAGAGCTTCTGGTCAATTTCAAAATAAAACAAAACAAACAGACTCCCATTCGTATTATCGTTACGCATAGACTTTGGAAACTGACCAGCTACCGGCTGGCTCTGAGGTCAACAGCAGCAGCCAGACTGCCAGCAGGGCTGTGGAATAAACTTTGTGCTCCTGCACAGGAGGTTTGTGGACCATGTCATGGTCATCCTCGAGCCCCTCTTGACCTGTTTGCAGTCAGGGTTTGATTCACTGCTGAAGTCTGTTACAGCCAATGCTGTGAGTACAGCTGGATGTCCAATGCTTCATTGAGTAGAGGAGAACTGTGTGAAGGGGTGACATTTGAACTTTGGGGTGTCAGTATCCACCATGAACTGGAAGGGGGCAAGCAAGGCCACTTGTTCAGTAGCAACAAGCTCCAAAGAGGCAGAGAAAGAGGCAAGACGCTGAGGTCACAGGTGAAGAACTCCTTAAGGAAGCAGTAAAAGAGGAAGAAGTGACACGCAGACCAAACAGTAAGGAGGCAGCGCAACAAGAAGCAAGGACAGAGTGAGAGGAGGTAACAGAGCAATGAAAGGAGGAAATACATGAATAGGGAATACAATTCTCTTGATAGAAGAGAATCAAGATAAGCAGAGTCAAAGCCAGAGAGAGGAGATGGCCAAAACAAAAGCAGAGAACAAAGAAGACAAGACAAGGACAAACTAAAGAACAAGATGAAGAAGTTAAAATGACGACCAGATTTTTAGGAGATGTGAGACGTCTTATCATTTCAATGAAACTGCAATCAAAGCTTCATATAGGACCTAATCTGTCGAATTCCACTAGTATATTAGAAAGCTGAACAGCCTGTGGTTTCCGGTCATCGTCTAATGAACTGTGAATCCAATCTTTACCTCAGGCTGATGTGCCAACTGCAAATCAAGGAAACAATGACCAGAGTACCATCAAAAAAGACCCAACCACTTCTACTTTGATGGACCGCTGCAAAGAACACCCAAAACACCAGCAGCTTCCAGGGTAGGTAAGATGATTTTGGAAATAAGGCTGATTCAATTTCTAATATTAGTTTGTTTTTATTTCTAAATCTTTCTTATTTCCACCTGACACATTTGTCATGGTGTAAATAGCAGATGAACGTGTGCCCTCATAGCCCTGCTATGTGCTGTTGCAGCATAGCAGCTCCATAACTCTTCACTTAAATATGTTTTGCTGATACATTTAAGTTGAGTTTTTAATGACGCTGAGCTATCCAACATGCGTCATATGAGCAGAAACAGAAGCACTCACACACTTACACCTTATTCAGCAGAGTTTGATTTGTAGTTATTCCTAAACAGAGCTATGATTTACAATGACAAGATATAAATACAGACATTATGCACGGATTAGAAGAATAAAACCATGGATTCCAGCAGATATGTTCACAGCAAGGAAGAATGTGCAACTTTTTGATCTAGTAGATGTCGCCCTTGAGAACCACCATGAAACCCAAACCAACTGCTGTTTGGTGACACCTGTGCCAAAGTGAATCCTCCGCTCTCCTCCAGTTGCACACCTACAACCCCCATCCACTTGTGTTCACACGAAGGAGTATCAAATGGAACACACCATAATTAAGCACCATTCAAAATTGTCCTTTGCTCGAGCTAAATCTGCCTGTGGTCTGCATTATTATGTAAGCAGGCTTATGTTAGCACACTTTAGTTAGCTCGTAGCTTAACTTTGCATGTAAATTGACCTGATGTAAACACGGCTCAGGGGAATAACTAACAGGAGGTTAACTAAAGTCTGAAGTCGCAGTTCATAATATTTAAGAATAAAGAATCAAATCCACCGTGTGAATCACAAAAAAGGCAAAAAATCCCAACGCCAGCCTTTATGCATACTGGCTCTTAAAGGGAATGAGAGCTGACCCTGTATGATAGGGGTGGGAATCACCAGAGGCCCCACGATACGATATTATGGCGATACTCGAGACGTGAAATGATCTATTGGGATTTTTAACATTTTGCGATATGCTGAGAATTGCGATACAAAATATTGCGATTAAGCTTTTTAACTGCACATTATGTCCACTATACTAAACTAAATCAAGAACTGTTTCGTCAAATAAGATACAATTCTCAGTCTGTTCTTCTCACTTCTGTCTTTTTATTTGTATTTCAGTCTAATTGAACTTTAACATAAGTTCTTAACCATGCGACTTGTTCAAAATAAATAGTACAACCCCTTCAGCAGTTAAAAATTAAAAAAGCACATCTAAAATATCATATTAAAAATATCGATTCTTGGCTGCCCTGGGACGATATTATATCAACACACAAAATATCGCAATACCATACTGTATTGATTTTTTACCCCACCTCTAAAAAATTAAGCAACAGAAAACAAAAAGGAAGACGTGTAAAAATAAATATTACAGATTTTGTGTTTATTCTTTGTTATTTTTTCATATTCCTCTTATGTTATGTCTCAATAACAGAGTCTAAAAGTGAATTTTCACCTTGTAGGATTAAAACTCTTATTATTTAATTATGTATTTAAATGATATCTTATTCTTTGTCTTGTTAGCTGACTGTCAGATCATTGGAGTTAAAATATAGAGCTCGTTCATTCTCAGTCTACAACTTTACAAAGGTTTAACCTGAGCCAGGCCATACAATAATGATAGCAATCACAGGGAAGAGGAAAAAAAAGGATGCAACCACAAACCTAGAGCACGTACCTGGAATTAAGATATAACCCTGAAGTGGAACAAGCTGTCACAGATGTGCTACACAGTGCAGACAGTCACATGAAGAAAAACTACTGGAGCCTCTTTGATCAGCACTTTTCCACATGAAGTCACTCTACCTCTCAGGTGAGCAACAAGCTATCAGCAGTGTTTCATACTAACATGTCACACTTACACCTCTGCCTGCTGCAGAACACAGGCATGATGCATTAGGCTGCAACCAGGGGTCTTCAACATCTTTTCATCCGGAAGCTACTTTGAAATAAATAAAAGTGGCTGAGAGCTTCTTGCATCACATCGCTTACGTTTAATCACAAATAAAACAAATGAACCAGCTGAATTAAGCTACATCTTGTTTACTCGAACAAAGTGCAGAGATCCCTGTACTATTGTGTTGGCCCTTAACTTTCATCAGCAATGACATTATTTCTCTGAATTAGGGCAGGGCAATATGACTAAAAATGTTATCAGGATAAAAAATGTCATATACGTCGATGTCTATAATTATCACAAAAAATGTCAAATCATAATTTCTTTACATTTAAAGGCTGATTTTGACTTCTGGGTGTTTGGTCATTTCTGTCCTTCGATGTGTTCTAACGGGTGATATTGTTTAAAATGATGGAAAAGGTTCATTGTGTTGCCTGTTTCAGCTGCACAGTTTACAGAACACTTTCCTCTGTTTTTTGTCGGACTGTAAATAGCCAAAATATCTCCCAACTCCTCAAGTTGAGTAACCTTTCTTGTTGAAGATGTTTTCTCCATGCTTTGAGTTGGTAGGCAGCGTTTCCTTCAGAGTCGCTATCGCTCATAACGGCTGTTTCCATTTAGCTCAAAACATCTGTAACGCCTTCCTACCCTTGCCCTTGCAACATGATTGGCTGTTTGTCGTCTTTTTAATCTTCTCTTTAAAGGCTTAATATGTGATTTTTCACACTTTAAATGTAATAGAAATCAAGTATATCCTCTGAAAATAACTATGTGCAAGTAGCATATAAGGTGCATAATCGCCCCCCATTCTCCAGTGTTTGGTTGGTGTAATTACAGTTTTAAATCTATCAAACATTTATCAAAAATGTGTTATATTTCTACTGAGAAAAATGTTAACAGGATAATTATTGTTATCTATCATCCAGGCCTACCCTGAATAATATTCACCAGAACCCCTTTGCGGCCTAAATTTAAACAACCCTAACTCTTAAGACATCAAAACAGTTTGGGGAGTTTACTATGTCTACTAGAACATGTATGAGTTGGTGTATCTCTAAATCTTTCACCTATAATAATCAAAAGCGTTTTTTTACAGACCTGCAGGCTTAATGTGCTGGTGATGTTGGCCTTGGGCATGGAGATGATCACACTGGTCTTATTGGTCTTTTCCAGCCACTTGGTCAGCAGCTCCAGGGTCAGAAGCTTGTCTAACCTTTCCAGACCCTCAACATGGAAGGGCAGCAGGAACACAACACTAGCCTTTCCTCCCCATAGAGGCACCTCCAGAACCTGCAGCATGTTTGCAATGTCTTCATGGTGACGGTACAAACCTGAAGGAGAGGTCAGGCAGAGGAGTACAACGGGATGAAGACAACACAGGAGAGTTAAGTAGAGAATGAAAGCATAATGTAAATGTTTTGCTTTTGAGTTTAGTTTTCTTCTAAATTTGTTCAGGGAAATATTAAAAACAGGGTAGGAAAACAGGGTTATATGGGGGGGCTGGTGAATTAGTGGTTAGTGCTTGCGCCCCATGTACAGAGGCTGTAGTCCTCCAAACGGGTGGCCCGGGTTAAAATCCCACCTATGGCTCCTTTCCCGCATGTCATTCCCCACTCTCTCTCTCTCTGATTTCCGACTCTATCCACTGTCCTATCTCTCCATTAAAGGCACAAAATGCCCAAAAATAACAATGGAGCTGATAGGTTTTTACTTTAGTCAATGTGTGTGCTTCCACTTCGTTGCGTCTCAGCTCCCTCCCACCTCCGGCAGGCCAGAGCCCTCTGCAGCAGATACGCAAGGATTCTATTTTTGGCATTAATTTAATGTAGCACGGTGCATCCATTTTTCTACTGAGCAGATTGAGCGGGACAGGAAGTCACACACCAAAACTTTTCAAAACAATCTTCAGAGTAATCCGCTCTGTTTTGACGGTTCAGAACAATGACCTTATGTGTGTTTGTTGTTGTGTTTATAAGGGTTTTTAGGGTCTTTAACCACATATATCTCATTATCTTGCACTGTTTCTGAAATTACTGCGGGAACTCCAGCTGTCCGGCTGTGCTTCTCCGTGCTGTGTTCAGAAAACGCAGCCTGTGGGTGATTATAATAAAGCAATAAGTATGGTATTTTGTAATGTTAAAAGACAAAGAGTAAGGTCTTGTACCTGCTTTTTGTAAAGTGTCTCGAGACAACACTTGTTATGAGTTGACGCTATACAAATAAAAATTGATTGATTGATTGATTGTCGGACGAGGGAGCATAGAGCTGTAACAGAGCGGAGCAGATGTGCAACACACGTATCTGGTAGAATTTCTTTGATAGGATTTCAATGAATCACTGAAATAAACTTTGTCATAAATTAGAAAAGGCATTATGATATAATATTTAAGCAAATACAATCCATCCTTTTCCTACATCTTTTACTGCTGTTACAGCAGAAACAAACTATGCTTTGCTGTTGTTGCAAGACGATTCATAAAATATGAAGTGCATGTTAAATAAGTCATAAGGTAAACAGTGATAAATAGTAGGGAAGCAGATTGGACCTTACAGATGTTCCAGGCATTTTAGGACTAAATTGCTTTTTGCTGCACTTATTTTTCTGGATGGAGAACAACAGCGACAGACTGTGCTTCTTTTTTTTTTTTTTTTTTTTTTACCTGCTCTGTGCATCATCATCACTTTGGTGTATTTCTTTCCCAAGAAAGTACGAAGATCTTTGCTCTCCTGGCTGAACTCTCTCTCCCAAAGCCCTGGACACACACACACACACACAGGAAGAAGTCATTGTGAATACTGTGTGCTGGACGTGGATAGGCTGTGAGAAAATGCTGAATGATTAATGGAGGTGAAAAGGTGGACATCAGGTTAAACAATGCCATGTTCATAAATACAGATGATGCACTGTGACACTAGCTGGCATTGCTCAGGATTCCTCAAAATCTACCGCCCATTAAAAGGTGTCTCTCTTCTTTCAAAGCTGATGAGGGGAGAGAGCGACACTGAGGCAGTTATAAGGTTCACTCACTCGACCCTGCTAACCCCCTGACAGCTGTCAATTTAGATGGGTCTAAGAGGAGTGGAATTACTGTTACCTCACAACACTTTCACAAAGCTGCTTGCCCCATTCAATAGTTCAAGAGACACATTGAGCCAGGAGGTCAAAAGATTATGACTGGTACTCATGTCTCTTTGTGAATGACACCCTAGAGAGGGCCAAAAATGAGAATTTTTTTTTTTTATTATTGATTAATCTTTTTTAAAAGATCAGCACATTCATCACACAATACTAAGGTGCAAGAAGGCCAAACACATCATTTTGACACAAAAAGAAGTCCAGTGACAAATTAGTTTTGCTCTATCATTTAATAGCCGTATTAAAAAAAAGGACAAAAAGTGAAGAGCCTTGTATTCTTCATTTCATCAATAGTCAATTAATCTTGAGAATGTCACAATATAACTGTAATTATACCCATCCCATTGCAAGCTTCAAAACTCCAAAGTGACATGTTTGAATGGCTTGTAGAAGTGAACAAAGGTCCCAAATTCAAACTGACAGAAAACAGAGTGAAGCTTCAAATACTAAATGTTGTTATTTGAGTAATACCAGGACAAATATCCTCTGGGTTTCAGAAGAAAGAGAAGAAGATGTACTTCATTAATCCAGCGAGGGGAAATTCAATTTTAATTTTACACTTTGTTGTTGAACAAGCTACACACACACATGCACAAACAGGATCCTTTGGATGTATTTATAGAGAGTTGTCAGAGTGAGAGATCCTGAACTGGTGGGGAGGGGGGGGGGGGGCTCAAGGGCACTTTGGCAGTAGTTCAGGAAATGAACGGACACCTCTCTAGCTACCAGACCAATTTCCAGACATGGTCCGCACCTGGACTTGAACCGGCGACCCACCGGTTCCCCACCCTGAGCTACTACTGCCACCCCTACTGGGGGTGAAGCCAATGCCTCAGTGCTTTAAACCTGCAATGTTTCTGATAACTAACATGGGGCAGAAAAGATAATGACTTTTTATTTTAGTAGAAATCTTAAATGAGTTTATGGTATCAATAGTGTAATTTCTTCTCCAATACAATATAAAGCTCTTTTTGTAAACAATGTTCCCATTCACAGTAAAACTTAAACAAATCTAGACATGCTTAAGGACGAGTCTTTCTGCGATTGCCAAGTTACTACAGTCTGTATTAAGGCACTCCGGCATGCTAACACCCTGTTAATGACAACAAGGGTTGAATGATTTACGTGTGTTATTTTAACATAATGCTGACACTTTTCTGTTGTTTGATGCAAACAAAAAACACTTTCTGGTTTTGCATGACTTATTTACAATAAAAGTCGGTCTGATATCAACTTCAGTGGTCACAGAAATGACCTTTGTAGATGTAGAGTGTGTTTGACCCCTTGCATGGCTGGCTGTGGCTCAGTTGGTAGGGTCAGCCGTCTTTTAACCAAAAGGTTAGGGGTTCAATCCACATGTCCAATGTGTCCTTGAGCTAGACACTTGGTTGGCAGCGTATAAGTGTGTATGAATGGGAATAGTTTATACTGATGGACACTATGACTGGTACTCATGTCTCTTTGTGAATGACACAAAGCAGCCTCTACCATCAGTGTTTGAATGGGTAGGTGTGACCTGCGGTGTAAAAGTGCTTTAAGTAGCCTGAAGACTAGAAAAGCACTGTACAAGCTCGAGTCCATTTATCATTACCATGTCAAGAGTAGACGTACAGCAGACAATGCTGGTGTCAGATCGTCCGTGATGGCCAAACAAACCAATGACATTGAGGCTATCATTACAGAAATGCTATCGTGGCTACAATAAATGATCAAGACTTATGAATCCAGTCTTGTATGATTTTATATATTTCAGAAAATAGTCATTGTAAAGTTAAAACATCAAAGCAGACAAAAATCATAATAGATCCTATAACTTCTTTCATTGACTGTCTTGCACTTTTTATGACTTGTAAACTGAACTCCATGTGTAAAATTGGTGCAGCTTTTAATTGTTTCACTTGGAGAAAAATAAGCTTTTACACTGACTTATATATTAAATCATTGCTTCAGTATTCGAGGTAGCTTTCCAGTGCCGAATTGGACCCCAGCCAATTACAAGTCACAGAAAAAACGACATGTGAGTTTCCCTCCCAGGCATGCTAGCTCAAGTCTCAGACATTGGCTACACTTCCTGTAAGATCAGAGAGTGAAATGTGATTGCACAGGAATTCAAAAACAACTGGCTTAAGAAGGTTACCTGAAGTGGCAGCCGTGTTGTTAAAATGAAGTCATAATGATGAATAATTTTCTCCTCAGTGTGCGCTCATTCTTATGTTCAAATGCTAAGAAAGTGCTATCAGGCAGGGATTTCATGACCTCACCAGTCAAGACTGTTGATCTCTGTGTGTGGGCTTGTGTGTACACAACAAGGCCTGTTCAAGTTTCAATGACATTATCTTATTTCAAAAGATCACAGAAAACCAAATTCATTCACGTCTATCAACAATAAAGAATGAAACAGATGCACATCTAAGAAATCCAATAGTTCAAGGATTTCCCAATTCATACTGTAAACCTCAGGCAAAGACCAGAGGAGGAATCAATGAGACTGACTCGCTCCCTCTCCTCCTGCATCAACGTTTGATTACAAGAAATGGTGGTACATCAGAAGCTATTATTAGAGGTTAAATATGCGGGGACTTGTTGTTCTCTCCTGCTTTTCTTCCCTCCTCTAGTCCCCTATGTTTTTTGTGTTATCTTGTGTATGAGTTTCTCTCTTGTTGTTGTTTTTTTTCCCTCCCTCACAATCTTATTTTTCTTCTTCCGTCTCGAGTGTTTGTTTGTCTAAAACAGGAACAAAGCCTGAATTAATTAACTAGCGTGGACCGGAACTCCCAAGGTAGGCCTTTTTACATCCCTCCACTATGTCTGTCAATCTCTTTCACTCTCAGCAAGCCACCCTCTCTCTCTTTACATTTCTCAAAGTTCAATCTGTACTTTTGCCCATTCTTTTTTTTACTTCATTCCCCTCCTCTTTCTTTGCAGTCCTCTTGCTTGCTACATGTTCCGCAAAACATGTCCCACTACTTATTGCCTCTGACCTTCTCTATCTTGAATGTGGTGAAGAGCAGAACAGAAAAGAAAGCTTTTTTTGTATTCATCATTAATGAACTGAAGGGTACAAAAAAAGTGAAACAAATAGAAACAGGTAACCAGGTTAAATCCCGTTCGGATGCCAAAAGAATTTCAGCACCAATCTCTGAAGGCTGTATATTATCACACACTATGAACTCAGGACCCTTAAACTGAAAGACAATAAAGAAAAAAGTTAGAACAAACCAGAGTTGGCTTGTAAGAGCAAGCGGCAAACTATCGACCACTTTTAAATTATGAGTCAAAACTAAAGGAATCCAATTTTCAGTAATCTAATTTGTGTGCTGCAATCTGCTGTGTAATCGAATTTGTATATTTCCTCCACAAAATTAATGAACCGACCAATGAGGGTCGGTTCACAGAGAAACTAATTTTGTAATGAAGTCAAACATCAAACAAAGAAAATTAATTAAATTGCTTATCAAATATATAGTCTGTCAGGGAATGTTATTTTCAAAGGGCTGTCTATCTGTTGGCAACCTGTTTTTCACTTCAGCAGCCTTCTTTGCATGTAATAAAAAAAGAATATCTGCAGGAGGAAACAGCAGGAATAGAGGCAGATAGAGGCAGATAAGGATGTGAACAGGAGACATGTGGGATGAAGAGGAGACGGGGTAGATTAGATTCGAGATAAACAATGACAAAAGCACAAAAAACTGTGCCACAAGCCACAATAAGAACGAGTGAAACAGAAGGCTATATTTAACACATAATCTTTTTGTGAGGACCGCAAATAAAAAACGAGATTCTACGTCAGCAGGCAAATGTTGGCTGTGCTCTGAGGAAGACGGAGAGATGGTAGATTAAATTCCTGAAGAGTTATCATGAATATAAAAAATAGCTATGTCTTTGGCTCATTATGTGAATCTAGTTGTACAAACACTGACACCCTTCACCGCAAAATTAAAGTTACATTAAAGGATTGTACGCTGAATTTCAAATGAGGATGATATTTTTGGGATGCGACTGTTAAATGACAGATGGGGTGACTAAGTTACTGCTTCTCCCCGACGTGAAGCTTTGACTAGCTTCCACCACTGCAAAACGTCACAAAGAACACAGATCCGAGCCAAGCTGTGTCGCCGCAGACTTGGAGCGCTCCATGCACAGATGTTAGGTGTGACACCGAGGGAGAGAGTCTGGACACTTGTTACTCAATTATTTAAGATGACACATCACCCCCAATGGAAGATGAATAAGCTCTCAGTGATGGACCCCAGAATCATCCTTTATTTGCTGTGTCCGCCAGCTGGAGTCCAACGCATTGCACACACACACACACACACACACACAGGCAGACATGCACACTGGCGGGCATGCTGGCACATACTATGTGGCGGGCATGCTGGCGTGTAGGGTCTCACTGCTGTGTTAACACTGAACTCTTGAAAGACTTCTCATGCAATGCAGCACACAACTTCAGTACTGAGACATAGCATAATTACAAATGACTCCACAATTACAGAGCACAGCAGTCTATTTCAGCAAAACTCAGTCCAGCCTGGCTTCTATGCGACACATTCACATCCAATCAGATATGCCACAAGATAATCACTATAATGAAACATTCTGTTGACTGTAGTGCTATGACATGTTTGTCGACTATTGCATCAAATGACTTAACTCCAATGATGACGCTGATGACCGAGGAGTTTTATTTTGGTTTATATGATGGTTTTATGGACTTTTTTTATACATTCTCAGTTTCCTGTTGTTACCTGATGAACTCCAGTATTTATGTATTTAATATTCACAGTGATTTTTTCTATTGTTCTACTGTCGTTGAACTCTACATGTGTGCATGGCGCCAAGCCGTGGTTTCACTAGTAAGTTAACTTCTGCACGTCTTCAGCGCAATATGTCAGGATTATCGCTGCTTACTTTGGTTTCACTTTAGTGCAGTGGAAGTAGACAGAGATGAGCTGTCCATATTATTTAACAGTCAATGGTCTTTATTATTTATTAAATACTCTATATCAGCCCCCAACTCAGTAACCTATGCTTGTTTCTTCCTTCAGCTCAATTAGAAAAGACCAAGTGGGAACTATTTTACTTGTGTATATGTGCATTATTCTACTCACCTTTAAAGTGCAGTGCATTGGCCAGTATCATTGCTCCAGCCTTAGCCTGGATTTCAGCTGCTAAAGAAGCTCCCTCAAGCCCACCGAGTCCAGTTTTAGCCCAGCTGTGGAGCTGCTTCAGGTCAGCCTTGGAGTCTCCCTTTTCCAGTGTCTGATGCTGCAATCTAAATCGAGCCTGGACGTCCTTCACAAACTTCTGGCTGAGTTGAGGAGCCTGCTTGGAGAACAAAGCTGACGATGTGTGGAGGTTAAAGCTCGAGCCATTGGCGTTAGTGAAGCTCTTCAGCGCCCCAGATAAAACATCAGCAGGGTCTGCTCCAGTTTTGGCGGGGGCTGGAGTCTTCAGGAGGTCTTTGAGCTGGCTGGCAGTGGCGCTCGCTGACCCTTCACCAAGCGCACCAAGTGAGGAGGCCACGAGCAGAGGGGAGAACAGGGTGTTCACTGAGCTGGAATCAGAGCGGATGGCCTGGTACAGGCGCAGACCCAGGGCCCAGCTGGGGTCACCCAGAAGGGCAGGTGGGTGTGATATAGGGCTGGCAGTGGGGCTCTTCTTGGATGAATCTGCAGCGCTGGCCTGCACCAGGAGAGCTGGCGACAAAATTAGGATATAGAAAGAAATTCTGAGCAGCATGGCAGCTGTGTGAAAGCAGAGAGAAGAGGAAAAAAATGAAACTGTGCATGCATAACAATTAGAGCTTCCTCTTGTTTCATAATGCAAGTAATGTAGCTCTACTCAACGCACTTTTTTTTTTTTTTTACAGATTTCAAAGAGAGTAATAGCTGCTCATGCTGTTATTGCACTGTTCATATTTAAGATAAAGCAATATAAACACAGCCTCGGGGTTTTCTCTTTGCTGTTGAACTCCTACTTGTGCAAACAGCAGCCTCTGCTCATACAGTGCCACAGCAGTAAACCTGATTTTGTAAATTCCTCCCCACTTGACGACATTGTTATTATCTCACCCACTGCGCCAAAAACAGCAGCGTGACAATTAACTTCAGCGAAGTTTCAAAAAGAAAGGTCTCCAGTTTAGAGACGAACAAGTGGAGGAGGAGGAAGAGAGAGTATCTTTGTCTTGCATACACCAAGACTTATTCGTCGAAGCGGGGACAGACGAGGTGACGGGAAACATCTGCTATCTAGCTCGGTCTAGTTTGTTGTGATATCCGAACCCCGAAAAACCAAAGAAGGTGTTTGTTCAAATTTACCGTTCATAAATTCAAGTGTATCCCTCTCCTCCGCTGCTATCCTGATAGCTGGGTGCTCCAGAGGAGGAAGTGAAGCTGGGACTGGGCTCAGACGTGGCAGCTCTCAGAGGAAGTTGTCAGTCTCCCCTCAGCTTCACCCCCGGAAAGCTTTCACTGCTTTTTCCAGAAACTTCCAGGCGTCCCATGAACCGAGCGCACATAGGAACCGTGGAGATCAATGCGAAAACCCCGAAGATTATTAGAGGATATCATTCAATATCCTGTGGTTTACGCCAAGAAAATACGATTTACGATAAGAAAAACACTAAGTTTCAATTCAGTTTTTTGTTGTAATAGCTCACTAATTAAATATAGGCTTTATAGCCTAATGTTAAAATTGTAGAATTTATTTTAAAGATTGTTAGAGGCCTACATCAGAGAAAAATCTCCGGCTATAGCTTTAAAGTCAGTTGTGGCAGCTGGTTTATGCAGGAATAATCCATTTATGCTTTACAAAACCATAATTAAATAGCCCAAAGTCCCAGCAGTGAAAGGCTATATTTTGGCTTCTCCCTGTTACTTTGGCAGGGATCTTGCACATGAAATGTTGGGGCCTGGTTGAGATTTAAATTAAAAACAAGAAGAAGAAATCCACCAGTTGCTGTAACCTAAATGAGGCGTTTCTGCATACATTCACAGGCAATCTTTGCGGGTTTGCTTGGATAATAAACCCCCTTTTATTCTTGGCTCCGTGGGAGTTGTAGTTCCCAAAACCATTCAAGCGGGGTCGCTAATGGTCTTCTCATTGCCTCAGCTCAGTGAACCCTGTGAGAGGCTGCAGCATGTGAGCCGGGGCCCTGCCGAACTTGACACCCTGCCCTCCTTGTGGATGGGACTGACCACAAAGCCAGCAGGAAGATGAGGTTTGGTGCATGCAAATCCCCCTGAGGAGTTTTTTTTTTCCTTTTTTAATTTGATTTAGTTTTAAAGCACTCTGCAGGTTGGCATGCTAATTATAGGATGAGAAGTAACCCTAATACAGAAAACAGCCCTTCTTTAAAAATCTTTATTTTCTAAAGAGCTAGAAAAAATTTAAAGGAGGCCCCAATACAGTCTCAGTCCACCCCACTTTGCAGTAGCTGTACTAGTTTAGTGTACTGTCAAGGAAAAGTAGGGCAGACCATGCAAGCCTGCATTATGTCTGACCCTTTCAAATGTCCTCATTCTGTATTCTCCTCATTCCCCTGTTTTTTTTTTTTGCCTCCCTAAATTGTACCTGCCCTCTCCCTACAGCAGAACAAGCATATGACTTGAAAACAAAAATGTCTCCGGGACAGGGATTATTGCCCAAATTAAAGTATGGTGAATGACCATATAGGGTCCTAATCGATAAATGTAGAGATAGACTAAGGAGACTCGAGAAGGATCAGCGAGGGATATGGAGGAAGATAACTGCTCGAGACCACCAATGCTCAGCAATCAGGCCGAACATGACAGCTTGTAGACCCAACCAATTATTTACCCCAGCCAAATCAATAGAGCTCTCTGAGAAAGATAACCATCAGCAGAACTATCTGGAACACATTCACAGCAGAGAGCACAAACACACTCCACTCGCTGCCACTTTCACTCTCTGTCTCTTTGAGGAAACACACACATACACAGACATTTCCCTCACTGACACTTAGTTATCAAGCTTCCTTAGAAATAAGACACAAATCATCTAATTATTGGACATCTACACCGACAAGAGAAACATTAAACCAGCGTATGTCAAACCACAGGGACACTTAAAAGAAACACACTTTGCACGTATACTCGGGTTAATGATGTTGAGGCTGCACAGGAAGGCTCTGTGTGTTACATGTTGGTGGTGATGAGCCGATGTGTGCAACCGCTGAGGTCTTAACCCTCACCAGAGGAGTCACCGCCCCCCTCCTGGGACCCCCCAGCACCACATCACAGTCAGTCTCGTCAGTAATGAGCAGCGACACACATTACACTGCAGGTGATTCATATAAAGCACGGGGTGCGCTGCAGTCAAACGAGTCCCCCGGGGAACTGGGAGGGAATCCGAGAAGCGGCTCAGTCAGCGGATTGTGCATCTGGGGATTTATAAAGGGATGCACTTTAACCACGATGCACCTCCACATCTTACCTTTTACCCTGCCCCCCCACACAAGCCCACCTTCCCAAGTTCTCCCCACCCCTCTCAGCTCATTCTCCAATAAGCCTGGAGTTCTGATTAAGTTTTTCCAGCTCCACATGTCACGGTCATGGGCAGCAAATGTTCGCATTTCACCTCACACGTTATCCGTTCATGCGGCTTTTTTAGCCATTGTTCTTAGCTATTTGTTGAGGTTAAACGCCACTGGCTCAAGGGCTCAGCAACAGAATCAACACCTCACAATGAAAGCTGTTATGACCACTGCCAAGTGGCCTAGAGCTATATCCACTCGCCCGTGCCCTATTCTCTCTCTAGTTTCTCTTCAACACACTTCCACAGTTTCACACATATTGTAGCATTTATTTTATTTTCCAGTCACTTCCTCTTTGCTCTTTCAGAATGGGCAGAATGAGATATTTCACTTAGCACTACATTAGTGCTGCCTTCTTACACTCCTTTTCACACAATAGCTTCCTGTGTTCTGTCCTATCACTGGGCTTTTAGCAGGTTTAAGATTTTCCCTCTATACCCCTCCCCCTGCCTATGGGGCTTCAGATACAAACATGTTTGTTTCCTCCTCTTGTCTTTCCTGGAAGAGAGGTTACTTTTCTAAGTTATAGCACATAACAAAGCAGACATAACATCTTCACCATAAAACCTAAAACTAAATCTGAAACTTTTCTTATGAATATGTTAAACTTCCCTCCCACAGCGCTCTTTCCTCTCCTTCCCTTTCCGCCACCTTCTCCCACCTCCTCTTACTCACTGTCAACCCATTTCCTCTCTGCTTCTCACCTCCTCTCATTCCTTCACCCTGACTCCTACTCCTTTCCCATCTCTCCTCTGCTCCTTCTCCCTTTTCCAACACTGTAACTCACTCCCCATCCCTCTGTGTCTCTCAGATTCTGGAGTCTGTACAGAACAAACAGTAACATGTGAGCCTCCTTCTTGTCAGCTCTGGTCCATTTCAACTACCAGAGAGCTGGTTCAGACCTCATCTGGACAGGTACACAGAGTCCTTGTGTTCCTTTGAAATTAGGGTTCTTACTTAATGTCAGGCCAAGCTGCTTAACTTCTACAAGTTTAACTGAAATATAACTTCACCTTCATTCTGGCTCAGTCCAAACTTTGACCTTAAACCAAAGGGGAACAAATAACTAATTCATTATTCTAGCAAATGCTCAAATTTACGTTCCAGTTGAGTGACCATCTTGTCTTCATATATCTTTTTCACAAAGTGTTTGATAACTGCATTAGAGGGATCAACGCAAATTTTTTTTGTATAACTATCTCTGCAGATCAAAGACAGATATCGGCCAATATATCGGTATCAAACCCAAAAATCTTATATCTGCTGGGCCTTAATCCTTACCCAACCCATTCCAAGAGTCCACCCAGTGCCCTGAAATACACAGACTCTTCTAAGTTGTACAAACTCATCGTTTTTTAAATTAAACTGGTCCCCATTCCTGTCACAAAACATGCTTTGAATGTTACCCAGAAGTTAATTATATCTTGCTTCAAACATGATTATTGCAGTTTTAAATTTGACCAGTTCTATAAATGTCAATGCTTGTGACTTTAAAAACAGTGTGTTGGTGTGTTCCCTACACCTCACCTTGTGTTCTATCCTAATGAAAATATTTATTGAGAGAGGCAAACAAATGTAAAAGAAGATAAGAATACAGTGCGCTTTCTTTCTGAACAATGCAAATACAGAAGCAGCTACAAAGGATCTTAAGGTCTGCTTAACTGAAGATCCAAAAATACTCAATGTCCCCCGACTGAGGTGTGTTTTTTTCCATCTGATTTGAATCTAGGGCAAAAACTTTAGAAGGCAACGGGAGGTATGGCTGGACAGATGGAAAGAAGGGAGTATGTGTATTTAATCGATGTAGGGGGGGCTCCTGCAGAAAGGTGAGGAGGATCAGTGGCAGTCGGGGGTCAGGGTGAACATGTTGAACAGTGCCAGAATCACAGACACATCTGCTGTTCATCAGGAATGTTTCCAATAAGCTTTAAATGTTTCCTCCAGTCCTGTGAAAGTGTCCCGAGTTGCCAAGACATGAGAGTATCTGTTTGATTTTCTCTGTGTGTGAAGAAATAGGTGGTCTCTCACCCTTTTTTCATGCCGAGACATTTCGATAAATTACCCAAACTTGAGTCAAATGCACACAAGTACAAAAGCAAAGGTACACATCTCTACGGGCCCGTATCCACACACAGCGAGGAAAGCAAATAAGTGGCTTTTAATGTGCTCAGTGACTCAGACAGAAAAGCAAATGCCAAGCACCCACAAGAGTACACAGCTGCTCCAAGCAAGTGTTGACAACTATCTTTATAGGAATTAAATATTGCTCCTCTCGTCACCCCAAGTAACCGCCAAACACCTGTGACTCAGATCACTCAGGCTCAGACTCCATGACATTAAATCAACATGTCCGCCTTTTGACGCATCACATATATAATGTGCCACAACACGCAACCACATACACACAAATGCACCTCAGGCTGTCAGAAATATGGACACACACCTTCAAAAGACAGATAGGCTGACACCCCTCACCCACCCACACACAGACACACACACACACACACACACACATATACACACACACACACACACACACACACACACAAACTCACACACATACACACACACACACACACACACTCACACAAGCTATATCCTCTGGCTGTGAGTTTGCCAGCAGCCAGCTGGTACTGTCATGTCTGATAGGCTGGAACAGAGACAGAGACGGAGAGGAGGCCGGGAGAGGGAAGAAGGAAGGAGGGAGGCAAGCTGGGAAAATATCTACAACAGAATGCATTAGTGAGACGGCGAAAACTGTATCAAACTCTGGCTACTCATTACACTGTCTCATTTAGGCCTATGGGGACTTCTCCCTCTGTCTCTTATCACAGTCCTCTAAACTGTATGTTTGTCTGAATGCCTCT